CCTGCCTACATTCATGAACTAAGGACAGATAAATACCAGGAAGTAAATGCTATACATGCATGCTCTTAGTCATGATGGCCATGGCCAGAAATGCTAGGGGGTGTTTTTCAAAGTGAGAAATAAAGCATGGAGACATAGGTGAATGGGGGAGTTTGCTTTGGATATTAAAAATGAATTAAACGGTGTTTTTTGTTTGTGCTCAGATGCAGTGAAGTTCCACTTTAAATAAGAAAAGCAGTGGTTTTTTTTTTTTGCGTTCCTACAGAATGAGCTTCGTGGGTGTGCTTTTTTCTGCCTGCATTATTTGTGGGGGTTTCTTTTTACCTACTGCTTGGTGGGTGTTACCTGCACCGTTACCTGCTTGTATGAAAAACATCCAAGAACACCCCCTCTGCTAGCTTCCTCTCCTAGCAGTGTACATACACAGCTACCTCACGCTAGTAACTGGTGGACTGGTTTTATTTCCATGTGGGCACACTTCTTTTTGGAGCTTTGCATATACAGGTGAAACTCAAAAAATTTGAATATCGTGCAAAAGTTCACTTATTTCAGTAATGCAACTTAAAAGGTGAAACTAATATATGAGATAGACTCATTACATGCAAAGCAAGATAGTTCAAGCCGAGATTTGTGATAATTGTGATGATTATGGCTTACAGCTCATGAAAACCCCAAATCCACAATCTCAGAAAATTAGAATATTGTGAAAAGGTGCAATATTCTAGGCTCAAAGTGTCCCACTCTAATCAGCTAATTAAGCCATAACACCTGCAAAGGGTTCCTGAGCCTTTAAATGGTCTCTCAGTCTGGTTCAGTAGGAATCACAATCATGGGAAAGACTGACCTGACAGTTGTGCGGAAAACCATCATTGACACCCTCCATAAGGAGGGAAAGCCTCAAAAGGTAATTGCAAAAGAAGTTGGATGTTCCCAAAGTGCTGTATCAAAGCACATTAATAGAAGGTTATGTGGAAGGGAAAAGCGTGGAAGAAAAAGGTGCACAAGCAGCAGGGATGACAGCAGCCTGGAGAGGATTGTCAGGAAAAGGCCATTCAAAAGTGTTGGGGACTTTCACAAGGAGTGGACTGAGCCTGGAGTCAGTGCATCAAGAGCCACCACACACAAACGGATCCTGGACATGGGCTTCAAATGTCGTATTCCTCTTGTCAAGCTGCTCCTGAACAACAAACAACGTCAGAAGCGTATTACCTGGGCTAAAGAAAACCGGACCTGGACTGTTGCTCAGTGGTCCAAAGTCCTCTTTTCTGATGAGAGCAACTTTGGGTCCTTGGTTTCCAAATGAGATGCAAGAGTATGGAGGAAGAATGGAGAGGCACACACTGCAAGATGCTTGAAGTCCAGTGTGAAGTTTCCACAGTCTGTGTTGATTTGGGGAGCCATGTCATCTGCTGGTGTCGGTCCACTGTGCTTCATTAAGTCCAGGGTCAACGCAGCCGTCTGCCAGGAGATTTTGGAGCACTTCATGCTTCATTCCGCAGACGAGCTTTATGGGGATGCCGACTTCATTTTCCAGCAGGTCTTGGCACCTGCCCACACTGCCAAAAGCACCAAAACCTGGTTCAATGACCGTGGGATTACTGTGCTTGATTGGCCAGCAAACTCACCTGACCTGAACCCCAAAGAGAATCTATGGGGCATTGCTAAGAAAAAGATGAGACATGAGACCGAACAATGCAGAAGAGCTGTAGGCCTCTATTGAAGCATCCTGGTCTTCCATAACACCTCAGCAGTGCCACAGGCTGATAGCTTCCATGCCACGCTGCATTGAGGCAGTAATTGCTGCAAAAGGGGCCCAAACCAAGTACTGAGTACATATGCATGCTTATACTTTTCAGAGGTCTGATATTGTTCTATGTACAATCCTTGTTTTATTGATTGCATGTAATATTCTAATTTTCTGAGATTGTGGATTTGGGGTTTTCATGAGCTGTAAGCCATAATCATCACAATTATGACAAATCACGGCTTGAACTATCTTGCTTTGCATGTATTAGTTTCACCTTTTAAGTTGCATTACTGAAATAAATTAACTTTTGCACGATATTCAAATTTTTCGAGTTTCACCTGTATGTTCTAATACTTTTTATACCTATTATGCATTTGACAGCTGCAGGGTGCTGCTGCAGATCATACTTGTGGGAGATGATTTTTGGCTGAGGCATATAGCTTGGGTTTTCCTGAACTGTGAAGTAACTACTGATTTACAACCGAGCCATTCATATGGCTAATTGAACACTATCAGACTTGAAAGAGAAGTATGGACTTTATTTCCCCATTTATACACTGACATTTTTTTCCCTTACTCTTTTCTGGCTGTTTTTAACTAGTTTTGCATTTGGCTAGGGTCAGTGTCACTACTGGTAGCATGAGACAATACCTGGACCCTACAGAGGTTGCATAGGCAGTCCAACTCCTCCAAGATGGCACATCAATACGTGCCATTGCCAGAAGGTTTCCTGTGTCTCCCTGCACAGTCTCAAGAGCATGGAGGAGATTCCAGGAGACAGGCAGTTACTCTAGGAGAGCTGGACAGGGCCGTAGAAAGTCCTTAACCCATCAGCAGGACTGGTATCTGCTCCTTTGTGTAAGGAGGAACAGGATGAGCACTACCAGAGCTACACAAAATGACCTCCAGCAGGCCACTGGTGTTAATGGCTCTGACGAAACAGGAACAGACTTCCTGAGGGTGGCCTGAGGGCCAATCATCCTCTAGTGGACCCTATGCTCACTGCCGACACCATAGAGCTCAATTGGCATTTGCCATTGAATAACGAGAATGGAAGGTCCACCACTGACGCCCTGTGCTTTTCACAGATGAGAGCAGGTTCACCCTGAGCATATATAACAGACGTGAAAGGGTCTAGAGAAGCCATGGACAACGTTATACTGCCTGTAACATCGTTCAGCATGGCCATTTTGGTGGTGGGTCAGTGATGGTCTCGGTAGGCATATCCATGGATGGATGCACAGACCTCTACAGGCTAGAAAATTTCACCCTGACTGCCATTTGGTATCCAGATGAAATCCTTGGACCCATTGTGAGACTGTATGCTGGCGCAGTGGGTCCTGGGTTCCTCCTTGTGCAGGACAATGCCGGTCTCGTGGCAAGAGTATGCAGTTCCTGGAGGATAAAGAAATTGATACCATTGAATGGCCCCCATGCTTGCCTGACCTAAATCCAATAGAACACCTCTGGGATATCATGTTTTGGTTCATCCAATACCGCCAGGTTGTACCTCAGACTGTCCAGGCACTCAGTGATGCCCTGGTCCAGATCTGGGAGGAAATACCCCAGGACACCATCTGTCGTCTCATCACGACGCTGTCAGGCATGCATACAAGCACGTGGGGGCCATACAAACTACTGAGTACCATTTTTAGTTGCTGCAGCAAAATGGACTAGCCTGGTGCATCATTTTTTCACTTTGATTTTAGGGGTGTCTTTGAACTCAGTCCTCTGTAGGTTGATAATTATAATTTCCATCAAACGATGGGGCACCCTTACGTTCCTAACACATTACCCAGTCCATATCAATATAGATATCCAGCATGATATTTTTCACCATTGAGATCAGATGTGTTTTAAAGTGTTCCTTCAATTCCTTAACAACCGATCACCCATTCAGCTGTTAGCGGGGTTCCCGCAAAACAGTTGTCGGCAAGTATCCATAATTGGTATCGGCGAGTATATTAAAAAAAAAAAGTATTGCTACTCATACTAGCTGTTAAAAAAATTAATATGGTATCTGTGCATCCCTAATAGACTTGGAAATAATACTGAACCTTCATACCGTGTGTAAGACAGAACAGCTACTTGCTCCCATCTTGATGTCAGCCTTACCTATCTCATATATAGGTGTGCTCAATAAAGTCATCAGTGATATTTGTTCAAATGAGATTCCAAATATAGGTTTATGGGTGACCCATGAGAAGAAAGGGAAAAAGAAAGTTATTTTTCACTAGTGTGGCTTTTAGGATTTTTTTTTCTTCTCTGGGTAAATGGCTCTTTTACATCTCCTCTTTTTCACCCAAAGCACTTTCATGTTTTATCCTTGTGATTGGTATAGATCCCTTTTGGCTCATCCTCTCTGTCATATGCCAGGTAAGCCCAGTTGGATGTGAGTTTGCCCCTGGGTTGTGTCTGCATCTGGGTCTGGGGTGGACGAGCATTGTGTTGGCAGCATTATTTCTGCAACAATCTGTATTCAACTATTATTTATATTTTGTTGATCTACTATGCAAGCACAGCATGGACTATGTAATATGACAGCATGTTGATACTATATGGGTACACTTCATACTCCTGCTTTTTCCCCTGCAGTAGGAGGTTTCCCAAAACACGTTGGGTTTTGTCCTGATTTTACTAAAATCTAAGATATATATATATATATATATATATATATATATATATATATATATATATATGTTTTAATACCTTCTATCCATGTGTATGTGGCAATATTGATACAGTATTTTGTATATGTAATCTATTTGTATACTCTGTGGATATTTTGTAATAAACCTGGCACAATAGCTTTTATTGAAATATACACGATTGTCATATCTGTCTCAAAAGGGGGTTTTGTATGATTTGTTTCAGGTAGGCATCTACAGCACACCTAAACGTTTATCACAGAAGCTTTTGGCATGACTTAAAATTTCATAAATCAATGGTTGTGGGAGAAAGTGGGCACCACAAAGGCCTGTTTATAAAATTGGGTAACAAAATATGAGTTGTTGGTCATATTGAACTGTATGTTGCTGTATTGTCTCCCGTTATATTGTAAAGCGCTGAGCAAACTTGGCACTTTATAAATCCTGTATAATAATAATAATGCCTAATTATGTTTTATACTTCATTTTTGTGGCCAATAACTCTGCATTTGTTCCCCAGGTTTGATGATAGCTGAATAAATGCTCCAGATTGTCTGTCTATATTATCAAATGTAATTTTCCTTTTCTTTTTTTTTTTTCCTTTTCAGTCATCATTTGTTGTAGATGAAGTAAGCAACATAATCAAAGAGGTAAGTAGTAGTAGTATTAAAAAAAAAAAAAAAAAAAATGTAGCATTTGTTTTTCTTTTGGAAAGGTAAAAGGCTGTGCATATGCATTTTATTCAAAATAAATAAAGGTGCAGCTCTAAACCATAAATGGATCAATATCATGTATATAAACGTATGAATGCACAAATCACATGATAGGTGGTTAATAAAGTGACAAAGTGCAAATATAAAACATACGCATCAAGGTGCTAATAAAGTGACAATCGTGAGCACTTGATAGAGCTGAATGTCTAATTCAAATAATCATGGGAACGTCCATAAAGTGCTACTCGTGAGGATCCTTCCAAAAGGATCACAGGTAAGTGCTCCATATATTATCCAGGTGGTGTGCCGTGAATATGTTAAGATTACGCACTCACCAGATGCGTAATCATAGTACGCATTTGTATATATAATTTTGTCTGCAGGAGGTCCCCTTAAGGATGTAAACAGCCTGGTCTGATCAGAGTGTGATATCCCCTTCCCCTGGGTAGTCTGCAGCACCTCAAGCTGTCCTCCAGAATGGGCTCGAAAGAGTTGAGGTTCTGGATAGGGGACATGCGATATTATTACAAGCACCAAGTGCAGAGGAAATGTCTGGCGGCGGCCGCGAATGGCGTGGAGCAGAGAGAGAGCGGAGTCCGGCGAGCTGGACAGAGTTGCTGTCCTGGGACGATAGGAGCTCACGAGAGATACCAGTGGAGTCACCTGCGCAGGAAAAGCTGACGTTAAAGGCCTCCTTCACCAATTTCTCACTAGGCCTACCAGAGCCTAAGCCTGGTGAAGGAGGCTCAGGCTCTGGTAGGCCTAGTGAGAAGTTGGTGAAGGAGGCCTTTAAACGTCTCTCGTTAGCTCCTATCATCCTGGGACAGCAACTCCGTCCAGCCCGCCGGAATCTGCTCCACACCATTCGCGGCCGCCGCCAGACATTTCCTCTGCACTTGGTGCTTGTAATAATATCGCATGTCCTCTATCCAGAACCTCAACTCTTTTAAGCCCATTCTGGAGGACAGCTTGAGGTGCTGCAGACTACCCAGGTGAAGGGGATATCTCTCTCTGACCAGACCAGGCTGTTTACATCCTTAAGGGGACCTCTGGCAGACAACATTATATATACAAATGCGTACTATGATTACGCATCTGGTGAGTGCGTAATCTTAACATATTCACGGCACACCACCTGGATAATATACGGAGCACTTACCTGTTATCATTTTTGGATTGATCCTCACGAGTAGCACTTTATGGACATTCCCATGATTATTTGAATTTGACATTCAGCACTATAAAGTGCTCACGATTGTCATTTTATTAGCACCTTGATGTGTATGTTTTATATTTGCACTTTGTCACTTTATTAACCACCTATCATGTGATTTGTGCATTCATACGTTTATGTACATGATATTGATCCATTTATGGTTTAGCGCTGCACCTTTATTTTGATTATCTTGGAGGTTGTTTTTGGTTGCCTTTTTGGTGCATTAGCTGCTTTAGCGCTCACTTGTTCTTCTTTACATTTTATTGACTTAAAGTTTTTTTTAAACAATTTCTTATTGAAAAAGTAAGCGTATTAGATGCATAATTCCATTATTTAAAAAAATATATATTTTTATGGTTTTGTGACTTTCCTTTCATGTTGTTGTGTGTTTTGTTTTTATTTCAGTCAATAGAAAGTGCTATTGGTGGTAATGCTTATCAGCACAACAAAGTCAACCAGTGGACAACAAATGTGGTGGAGCAAACACTGAGCCAACTGACAAAACTTGGCAAACCATTCAAGTACATTGGTATGTGTCTTTTTATCTGTGTTTATTAAAGGACAACTTCTCATATTTTTTTTTTCTTATGCATGATGGAGCCCATAGACTATTGCATTGTTATTATTATAAGTATTTATATAGTGCCAACAATGTATGTAACAATTTTACATATATATTGTACATTCACATCACTATTTGCCCTCAAGGAGCTTACAATCTAAGTTCCCTAACTCACATTCATACATAGACATATTAGGGCCAATTTTGACAGGAGCGAGTAAACCTACCAGCATGTCTTTTGGAGTGTGGAGTACCCGGAGAAAACCCACATAGACACATGGAGAACATGCATGAATTGAGTGTATGTAGTTTTACTGTAGTTTAACCGCTTAAGGACCGTCCTATAGCAGATATACTGCTACAGGGCGGCCCCTGTGCGCAAAATCACGTATATAAATGTAATTTTGGATTTGCAGGTAGGGGGCGCACGCCCTACCCACGCCGCCATTCGCGGCCTCGGATGTCAATCACTGAGTCCCGCCCGGTGATTACCGGCGATCACCAACAGGGAGGAGGGCTGCTTTGTTTACCAACAGTCTTCTTCCCTGTCAGTTTTGGCACACTGCTCTGGACGGCTGCACAGCCATCCAGAGCAGTGTGCTTTTAGTAAAGAACACCGCTTCCGCCCCCTAGTAAAACACTCCAATCACACAGTTAACCCTTTGATTGCCCCTCATGTTAACCCATTCCTGCTCAGTGCCATTTAGTACAGTGTCAGTGCTTTTTTTTTTTTTTTTTTTTTTTTTAGCACTGATCACTGTAGTGGTGTCACTGGGGGGATGTCAGTGACACCAAGTCAGTCCCCCCCCAGTGTCAGAATGCCCGCCACAGTCCTGCCAAAAGTCGCTGATCACCACCATTATTAGTATTTAAAAAAAAAAAATTCCAGTATCTATACCGCCATTTGTAAACGCTGTAACTTTCATGTAAACCAATTAATTTACACGTATTGGGATTTTTTTTTAGCAAAGACATGTACCAGAATATATTTTGGCCTAAATTTATGACGAAATTAGATTTTAAAATTTTTTTACTGGACATGTTTAATAGCAAAAAGTCCAAAATATTGTCCAAAAAGAACGTAAATTTAATTTGGGTGCAGTGTTGCATGACCGCGCAATTGTCAGTTAAAGTAACGCAGCATCGTAACGCAAACCACTTCCTGACCGCCCTATAGCAGAAATACTGTTACAGGGCGGCACGGGTGCGCAAAATCACATATATATACATACATGATTCGCGCTCCTGTAGTTTTCATGCCCCTCCCAGATAGCGTCAGATTTCCCGTCAGTACACCAGTAACCACATTTAACCCCTTGATTGCCAGGAACATGCTCATACACAATAAACCTCCATTGCTAGTATAGTGTGTGAACGGATCAATATCTTTGATCAGATCAGCACTATACCAGCGTTCACATTAGTATAGTGTCCTCAAAAACACATTGTTAGCAGGTTCAGCCCCGGCACCTAACAACACCTGCGTTTAGCCCCTATCTTACCCCCTCCACCCCTTTTCTCCCCCAGCAAGTGCAGTGTCACTAGGTCACTGTCACTTGATACATTGCACACAAAACCGCAGTGTTCGCAGAATCAGGCCTGATCTCTGCTAACTCTTGCCGGTACATTTTGATGACTCTCATATGCAGCAGAGTGCCAGTACTAGTGCAGCTTTACCTTTTTGGTGAACTGGCCAGCACCAGCGGCCTAGTACATTCTGGTCTTTCACATACCAGCAGCGCAGTATCACTTGGTGATGTGGCGTGTCCCATAAGTGCAGTACAAGCTGGTGCGGTGGCAAGCACAAGAATTTGCACACAGGCCCGTAGAGCCCTTAGTATCCTTCCGGATGTGCTTGCAAATCCTGATTGGCAGGCCACAAATTCTGCAGCACCCATACTTCTCCCATTCACTGCCCAACCCGGAATTCAGGTGGAAACAGCAAATTTAAACTACTCCCCTTGATTTTTTGGAGCTGTTTTTCATGGAAGATCTGTATGCATTGATTGTGGACCAAAGCAATGGGTTTCATCCCTGGTGATGCTCTGCCAGGCCTCTACTGCAACTGTCTTCAGTTCCTGCTTGTTCTTGGGGCATTTTCCCTTCAGTTTTGTCTTCAGCAAGTGAAATGCATGCGCACTCGGATTCAGGTCAGGTGATTGACTTGGCCATTGCATAACATTCCACTTCTTTCCCTTAAAAAACTCTTTGGTTGCTTTTGCAGTATGCTTTGGGTCATTGTCCATCTGCACTGTGAAGCGCCGTGCAATGAGGTCTGAAGCATTTGGCTGAATATGAGCAGATAATATTGCCTGAAACACTTCAGATTTCATCCTGCTGCTTTTGTCAGCAGTCACATCATCAATAAATACAAGAGAACCAGTTCCATTGGCAGCCATACATGCCCACGCCATGACACTACCACCACCATGCTTCACTGATGAGGTGGTATGCTTAGGATCATGAGCAGTTCCTTTCCTTCTCCATACTCTTCTCTTCCCATCACTCTGGTACAAGTTGATCTTGGTCTCATCTGTCCATAGGATGTTGTTCCAGAACTGTGAAGGCTTTTTTAGATGTCGTTTGGCAAATTCTAATCTGGCCTTCCTGTTTTTGAGGCTCACCAATGGTTTACATCTTGTGGTGAACGCTCTGTATTCACTCTGGTGAAGTCTTCTTGATTGTTGACTTTGACACACATACACCTACCTCCTGGAGAGTGTTCTTGATCTGGCCAACTGTTGTGAAGGGTGTTTTCTTCACCAGGGAAAGAATTCTTCGGTCATCCACCACAGCTGTTTTCCGTGGTCTTCCGGGTCTTTTGGTGTTGCTGAGCTCACCGGTGCATTCCTACTTTTTAAGAATGTTCCAAACAGTTGTTCTGGCCACGCCTAATGTTTTTGCTATCTCTCTGATGGGTTTGTTTTGTTTTTTCAGCCTTATGATGGCTTGCTTCACTGATAGGGACAGAATTGTTAGAATTGTGTCGATGTCCCAATATTTATGGACCTGACTGTAGATACCCAACATGCCAAACCTTAAATTTGTGTGTACCTATGAAGTGACTAATGCAGGACCCTGCATCCACTATATCTGATCTCTCTGATCTGACTTCAGCTGAGCACTGGTTAAAGCTTATAGGAGCAGATTTCTTTCTGCTCTAGGAGGATGCAAAACCCCTGAACCCTGTTTGGACAGTGCTGATTGGCCCTGTGCTGATCACATGCAAAGAAAAAAAAAAAACCCTCTCTAGCAATACACACTAAACTGAGCATGTGCAGAAGGGCTATAGGTTCAGTCTGTCTTATCAGCGTGGACATTTGAACAAGAGGAGGAGCAGAGAAGTCAGGATCCAACAGCCTTTTTTACACAGTGCAGAGGATTAACCCCTTAGGTTCCACAGTGAGTATAGCAAGCATTCTTTACTGCATATACAGACTGTTGTGTTTTTAGTGACACTTTAACTTTTGTTTTTTATTCATCACATAGGAGACTCAAGGTCCCCTATGTGATGAGTTTTAGGTGACAGGTTCTCGTTATTGGGCTCCACTCAAGCAATACATTGCTTCTCGGCTGTGCTAGCCTGGAGTAACCCAGAAGTGACTTCACACACGCCGCCTTCCAGGTCACAGAAAGGAGGGGAGCAGAGTGGATGTTTATCCGGGCTCCTCTCTCCCCTCCATTCGCTGTCACCCGCCATGGTGCTCCCCAGGTCCTCAGATGGGCAAGCAGGGCCCTGATACATGGCAGGAGCGCTCACAGGGGCACACCGGTACTGGGGGCTGTGGAAGCAATCAGGTGGCAGCGGAGCAGCCGAACTGCTTCCACCTAACAGGCAGGAGTCTGTCTGTCAGTTTTATACACCAGCCCGGTGGCTGGTCCATATGATGTATGGACCTGGCAGCAAAACAGTTAATGAAAAAAATGTAAGTTAAAAAAAAAAATTCAAGCGCCCCCCTCTCCCCCTGCTCACATGCAAATTCACACTTAGGTCCCGCACGCATAGGTAATCAATGCAAACATCATAGTGAGAGCCGTGATCCTAGTGGCAAAGCTCACATTTAACTCTAAACGGGTAGCCTGCAAAGTGTTGCCTATGGACAATTTTAGGTACTGAAGTTTGTCACCGTTTCACAGGTGTGCACAGCTTTGAATGTTGACATGTTTGGGATTTTATTTACTTTCCACAACATAATCTTTTATATTTTTCAAAACAGTTTGGTATTATATTTTGTGCATTAAAATTCATTAAAATTTATTTTTTTTCCTGAAAATTTGCATTTAAAAAATGGCTGCACAAATATGGTGCGACATAGAATTTGCATTTTATTTTACAGGGCCTCTGCTTCCAGAAAATATATGATGTTTGGGGGTTTTAAAGGATAATTTCACCTTTGGGAACATGTTACATGTTCCACCTGTTTTTAGGGTGGAACATGTAACATGTTCCCATAGCTGCAGCCTCCCCCCCTCCCTTTTTTCAGATAGTATGGGGAGAAGTTTCCCCATACTATTTGTCAGATTTTAAAACAGTGCGACCATGTGGGACTCATTCACAGAGTTCTTTGAATGAGTGCCTACAGGTCCCGGCAGCCTTAGCGGCTGTCTGCTTCCTGTCAGAATATCTGCTTGCTCGTACATCCATCGTACAGCAAGCAGATATTCTGACAGCTCTGCAGGAGACCTGCTTGGCATCAGCGATCTACTGATGGCTGGTGTGATGCTTTCCAGGCTCCTGCAGACAAAATAATAAATGTACATTTTCTACTTGCACAAAAATGTGTATTTATATTTTTTGTCAAAATCAGTTTTTTTAAAAAAAATTACTTAAAAGGGTAAGTTCACCTTTTAACATGTGAAATATCAAAATTTGGCCTGTGCAGCAAGTGGTTAAAAACACACCTTTACTAACTTGTCTAATCATTTCTTTGTGTTGGACTTGCAGAAAAAAAAAATGCGAAGCAATTAAAACAATGTCTTTGCACACTTCTGTCTTTTTAAATATGCGCAGGCATTTTAAAGTGAACCTAATTTGGCCTAAAACGTGTCTAAAGTAACAGCAGTGCTGAAGTGAAGGCATCTTGTGGTACTTACACGTGTCTATGTTGGTTTTCAAAGCGATCCCTCCATGGAGCCAGGTTAAATGTCAACTTCCTCTGACTTCCTTTTAACCACTTCCAGTCCAGACACTTTTACCACCTTCCTGTACAGGCCAATTTTCAGTTTTCAGTGCTATCACACTTTGAATGACAATTGCGCGGTCATGCAACACTGTACCCATATACATTTTTTAGCATTTTTTTTGAGACAGATAAAACTTTATTTTGGTGGTGTTTATTCACCACTGGGATTCTAATTTTTTTTGCTATGTAAATTAAAAAGTCCAAAAATTTTGAAAAAAAGTGTTTCTTATAAAATTTTGCAAATAAATAGTATTTCATCATAAATCTTGGCCAAAATGTATTGTGTTATATTTTTAGTAAAATCAAAAAACCCCAAATTTAGTTTATAACCAAAAATTATAATTTTTAAACTTTTGTTTTATATTTTTTATTTTTATTTTTTTACATATCATGGTGACCCTGTACTACTTGTGGGGGGTGATGATTTTTTTTTTTTTTACACTAATTGCTTTTACACCCATAAAGGATGTAAAAGCAATCATTTCTCCTTCTCTCTAGCTGCATTCTTGCAGCCATTGAGAACTACTGAGTGAGCTGTGATTGGTCACAGCGTGTCACATGGTACAAGGCTGTTGTGAATAGCCTTTTACCATGTGACCTCTGTGATCATTCACAGATTTCACACGTAGTAAGCAAGGATGTCACAAGTACTTGCTTACTACTCTGCATATGATCACTGATTGGCCAATCAGTGATCACATGATCGGGACCTCGTACAGAGGTCCCGTCCGACGATCGGTGTTCCACTGTGTCCGGAGGACACAGCGGGCACCGGATCGCGGTGCTGCGCAGTCCCAGGGAGCGTGCACAAGCAGGGTGCGGGGAGGCCGTTTATAAATGGCCACCCGATCCTGCACTACCACCGTCTGGCCGTTTATATACAATGGCAGGACGGGAGGTGGTTAAATTGAACAACCATTTGGCTAATCATGTTAAGTCCTGGACATTTTTACAGCGGCTGTTATTGGCTTTTGAAGTTTTTTTTTACAGCCAGTAAACTCCCCAGCATGTTATTTTATGTGTCCATGCACACATAGACTGTAATCAGCATTTCTTGGCAGATGCATCTTTTGGCTGAAAAAAAAAAAAAACACAGAACTAGTGGGTTTCTAGAGGAGTTTTTAGCTGTAAAAGCGCTCTAATGCGGTAAATCGCAGCAAACCGGCATTTTTAGGATGTTTTTTTTTTTTTGTTTGTTTTTTTTTTAGCAAGAAAGTTTTTCCGTTTTTTTTTTTTGGGTAAAAAAAACACTAAAAACACAAACGTGACAACGCTAAAAAACTCCAGTTTTTAATGTGACTTTACACAGCTAACATTACTAGCATTATTAAAACGCCCAGTGTGCATGGAGCCTAAATGTTTGGAATTCTTCCTCTTTTTCATCAGTAGTGGGCTGTCTTCAATTCTGCAGAGAGCAGCACTCACATTTTGATGTCAATGCACCTCACTGCCCTATTGTGCTGTGAATTGGGACTGACGTAATGACACAACCCTAGCTGGGCTCACATTAATGGATGCATGCACTGAGAAACATCAAGTTGAAGTTGATGATTCCTAAATAAAACAAACAGGAAAAATGTCAGTATGATTGAAAACCTTATAAAAGCATAGTCATAAAGACCCTGAATGAATTAGTAAATTCATATACAGTATACATAAACATTCATTGCTCAGAATATTGGCAAGATGCCCTCCTAAATAATTTATGTATTGTAATCCTTAAATCCCTGAAGTAATTAATATGTTTTTGTATAGATCTGTTTAAATTTTATCCAGGTTATATCTTGATCACATATGTTCAGGTAATATTTAAATAGCTTATTTTGCTGTAAACGCTTGTGAGAGTGTGATAGTATCCTCTGGAAAGGAGCTCTAGGGCTAATTCATGAGCATAATTTACTGTGCTTTGCAGGAGGGACTGCAGGTCTCAGTATTTATTTCTAATAGTGCAAATTATGACTAGCTCTTGTAAATATAATTAAAAATGATAAAAAAAAGTATATATTTTCTACAATTATTGTTTCTCTGTAAATAATTGATCCACTGAATTCATTTTATTGACAGTTACTTGCGTAATCATGCAGAAGAATGGTGCAGGACTTCACACAGCAAGCTCTTGTTTCTGGGACAACTCCACAGATGGTAAGGATTTTTTCTTTTTTGAGGGCTCCTTTACACTAAGTGCTGCGTGGATCCACATTGATTAATGCATTCTCAAAACAAGGACACTAAAACAATTGATGTTTATATGCCCCATTCACACCACACTAGTGCACTTAGTGTGCATTAAAGAAAAATGCAGGCACGCTACATTTTTTTTTCAGTGGAACTCATAAAAACACATGCCAGCACATGAGGCTTATTAAAATACAAAAACTTAGGTTAGTATTTTTTCCCTTGATCTGCCCTGTACCTAAAAACACATCAGTGTGCAGTAAAATAAAAAAAAAACCCATGTTATGCATTATCTGTTCATTTTTATTTGCATTGTGTTTTGAACGAGCCTTGAATCCTGTACAAACTCCCCTTGTTCTTTACTCTTGTGTAAAAGTCCAGTGGTTGGTAATGTCTGCTTGTATTTTAGTCCGTAAATAAGACTTACTCAGTTCAGATTCATTATGGTGTATGTATATGAATGTTTGAATTCACTCTAGACCCTGCTGCACAGAATCGGCTAAATCTACTATGTCCATGTTGTAGCAACATATTTTTTTATAGGTTGTTGGGCTGTAAAAAAAAAAACAAAAAAGAAAAAACCCCAAAACATTTATAAAGATTATCACAAATGTTGTGGGGAGTAGATAAGGCTACATTCACATGGGTTCATATCTGCAGTTGGTTTGTCAGCTAAATGCTGTTTCTGGATGGATGCACCAACCCCCTGTGCTTTGACTGCATGCAAACGAGCTAATTTAGCTCCAAGCAGTATGTGCCAAAACTGCAGAAATGCCAATTCCGGATGCACACTGTGTCCAGAGTCAGTCAGAGGCTCTCTTAACATGTAACGTCTCGGATGAGTGGTTACATGGAAACAGCTGCCACTGGTTGTACACAGTATGCACAAGGCCGTAAGGCAGTTTTGGATGATTCCCATCATCTTCTGGTCCTCAAACGTATGATTCTGTGATGCACATCACTGGATGGATTCAGGGATTCTTCTAAAAATCACTGTCTGTGACCACATTTTGCTTGCCATCCATCCAAAAATGCAACTTAAAGGGCTGCTACAAAAAGAATTTGCCATATCTGAACACGATCCAGAAATCGCACCATCTTCATTTGGCTAAAGCTCATTTGAAACGGTCTGTTGCAAAGTGGAAAACTGAGATTCTTTTTGGCAACCATGGGCGCCGTGTCCTCTGGACTACAGAGGAGAAGGACCTTCCAGCTTATTATCAGCATTTAGTTCAAAAGCCTGCCTCTCTGATGGTATAGATGCGCATTAGTGAGTATGGAATGGGCAGCTTGTACATCTGGAAAGGCACCATCAGTGCCGAAAGATATATCCGGGTTTTAGAACAGCATATTCTCCCATCCAGTCAATGTCTTTTTCAGGAAAGGCCCTGCATATATCAGCAGGGCAATGCTAAACTGCTTAGTGCATCTGACAACAGCATGGCTTCGTAGTAGAAGAGAACTGGTGATTAAGTGGCTTGCCTGCAATGCACACTTTTCACCAATTGAAAATATTTGGCACATCTTGAAACAAAAAATACAACAAAGATGACCCTGGACTCTTTAGCAGTTAGAATCCTATATCAAACAAAAATAGGACAACATTCCTCTCCCAAAACCTCCTCTGGTGCCACGTTTACAGAGTTTTGTTAAAAGAAGAGGGGATGCTACATGTCCCAATTTTTTGAGACCTGTTGCTGACAATAATTTCAAAATTTACCTTTTTTTTTCTTAAAATGGTCCGTTTTCTCAGTTTAAACATCTGATATGTTTTCTATTGTGAATAAAATATGGGTTTTTGAGGCTTGCAAATCAATGCATTCTGTTTTTATGTAGATTTTACACAGTGCCCCAACTTCTTTGGAATTGGAGTTGTATCATGCTTGCATGACTTTACATTTAAACAATGGAAATATTCCAGTATTCTGGAAGTTCCTTCAATATCTCCAGAACATTTTTCATCATGGATTTTTGAGGCATGTTTAAAATGCTGATTTTTTTTTTTCAGCATCTCTGTAGTCATTATTGCTATGTCGTAAACAGAATGCATGCATAGCCGTTTGTAATAAATATGTTAACCGTATGAGATACTCATGTAACTTCACCTTTTTCCTGTTTTCTCTCTGCAGGAAGCTGCACTGTAAGATGGGAGAACAAGACTATGTACTGTATAGTCAGTGCCTTTGGACTTGCAATATAGTTTTTTTTTTTTTTTTCTTTGCTGCTCAGAATGACTTTCTGTTCTATCATTATACCTTATCATTCTTTTGTACACGCCTTTCAGCACCTCAAGTTGAATACTTTTCTTTGTAATTTACCTCAGAAAAATCTCCTGCACTACATAAGTGGTAACACAGTCTTCTTCTTTTGCAAGCTTTTGAGCCTATATATATAATTCAAGGTGCTGTAACCTGCAAGTGCCACTATAAAACTTACTCTTCAGTTAGCACGTTTGATACACTGATCTCTTTTCATATTTTAACAGGAACTAAATAAATTATTGTTGGAAACATTTTATATTTTTTCTTTTTGTTTTTCTTTGCCACTTTTGCTTGCAGTAAAGTTGCAGTAGTCATGTTTTGCTTTTTTTTTTTTTTTTTTTTTTTGTCTGTTCAAAAGACATGTCTTAATTACCATTTTTTATAATTGCTGTGCAAAATTTAAGTACAGTAACAGTTTACTGTAAATCCTTGCAATCTCTTTGAAATAAGATACTGTACTACAGGTACTATTGGGGCAAATGAGATAAAAGTCCATTTGCCAGACCTGAGTGTCATCAAGTAATTTTACTTTCTTCTACTACTAATCTATCGTTTTTAGGAGGGGTCTTCCTTTCTGCAAAATATTTTCCACTTGGGCACATAAAGGGAAAATTGATCATAATTTGTAAAACTTTTCATTCCGACTGATGTGTCTTAGGCTTGGTTCACACTGTGCGTTCTGGTTGTGGGTGTGGGAATCGCATTGGTTCCCACAACCACCCGCAGCCGGATTGCACTGCTCTTAGGAGGAACGCGGGGCTGCCATTCACACCTACACATCTCAGCCCGCAATGCAATTGCTGGTACCAGAAGCGCAGGGAAAACGCACAGTCATAAAGACCATGCGGTTTCCCTGGGGCCATGTTTTCAAAAAGTTGCATGCACCCTTTTTTTTTTCTTTTTTTTTTGTGCGGAACCGCTCAAATGAATGGGGTGCCATTCCCGAGCAAACGTGGAAAGCACAGAATGCAATAGTGTGAGCCAGGGCTTAAAGTCAGACAGAGTATTTGGCACAGCTATAGTTTGTGGCGAGACAGTTAATATTCACTCAGACAAAGCAAAGCTGTATTTAATGCTGCCTTACTCAGCAGCACATGCCCACCCTCCTTTGCTCCACTGTCATGCCATGTAGACGCTGAAAAAGCAAATACCTGGTACTGCTGAGTACTCTCTGTCTGGAGTGAAGTGAAGCTTACACAGGGCTTCCTTTCCTTGCTTGTAGTGACTCAATGGAGCAGTAAGGGAACAAATAAAGAGTAAAGTAAAACCTGTTACTTTTTGTCTCATAAGTAAACCACAGGTTCAATTTGAACCTGTTTTCTTAATGAATTTTAAAGTAACATAAAAAAAGATAAATGGGCATATTTAAAGGATAAGTTCACCTTTAAATTAAAATAAGAATTGCACATTTTTTTGAAAGTAAAAAAATGTGCATTTACTATTATTTATTTTGTAGGAGCCTGGAAAGCATTGTACTGTGATCAGCAGTTTGTGGCTGCAATCCAGGGCTTCTGCAGATTGACAATGTAAGCTGTCTGCTCATACTGCATATGGGCAGGCAGTTACACAATGACCGGAAGAATCAATGAGCTACCTAGACTGCTAATCAGCGCCCTGGTATTTCATTAAGAACTACAAGCCAACAGCCGCAAAGGCTGTTAATACCTGTGGCTCATTCACTCAGAACTCTGAATGAATGACATAACTGTGTGGGCTAAGCCCCGCACGGCAGCACTCTTTTCAAAAAGTGACAGCAGGTGCGGGGAGAAGATCCCCGTCCTGCTATCAAAGGGAGTCACGATCAGGAAGCGGCTGCAGGAATGGGAACATGTTACATTTTCCACCCTAAAAACAGATGGAATATGTAACATGTTCCCAAAGGTGAACTTCTCCTTTGAGGCACTTATAGATGGCCTTTTAAGGTGTCACCTGAGCCCTGCCTACATTGGGCTGTTGCCTCTGTTTTCTGAATAGGTCGTGTTCTTATACTGATGCTTTATTCCACCTAGGCAATATAGCCAAGCACACTGCGTAACCATTTTTTCAAATGGTGACATACATGGCTCAAATTTTGGTCAGTTCATACTGAATTAACTTAAATTTGAGCTGTAGGTGCCCCTGCTGGCACCTCCCAGGTCAACAAATAGTAGATTGTTCAGAAGCTGAGTGGCAAATTGTCAGCTGAACTTGCATAGCTCCTGGAGCTGACTGAGAGAATACAATAGTCAGCAGAGGAAATGTGTACATTAATGCTGTTTAGCAGGCTTAATGACAAAAACAGGTATATGGCCAGGTTTAGCATTCAAAGAGCCTGTAAGTACTGGAAGGATTGGGTAGCCATCTACATGTGCCCTTAATAGTTTTATGCAAACTCAGTGCTTATTAGCATAGTGCAGTGACAAATCTAATTTCAGAATTTTAAAGAAGTACGAACAATGAAAGGTTTGGTTTCTATAGTTTACTAATTCGGTATTGCATAAAAACCTATATTGCAGAACAGGCTGAAGGACCTTGTGTCTCAGGCACAAAATAGAAATCTGTTAAAGTGACGGATGAGATGTGACCAGATTACTGAAGAAGATAAAACCATCTTTGTGGATTTCAGTTGTCAAGTGGTGCATTTTATCAATATTGACCTGAGTGGAACTTTAGCAAATACGTGAAAAATCCACCTTTTAGTTTCAATAGATTTTTTTTTTTTTTGTAGAAATAGTTTATATACAAGTGGTGTTTAATACAGTAAGTGCCAAAGGTACATAGAGATATCCAAATGTGGGTCACGTAAAAACAAAAGTGATTGTAAATGTTGGTGCTATCTAAAAGCCTTATAACTGACAATATGAAAAAGCATTAAGCAATTTTATTGTGACATAAACACAGGTAATAAGTTGGAAGCATCCAGTAGTCATGGTTTGCAGTTTATACAACTATAATTGAGGCTAGAGAAGATTAGTATGTAATATAAAGTTTATTATGGTTTCCAGAGCTCCTACCTCTCGGTTTTGCATTTGGGGTATAAGGGTTAATGTCACCATAAAGAAATGAGGGGGGGGGGATGAAAGAAGAGTTAATGATGAAAGACAAAAGGAAGGGTGATCAACTTTCATTTTTTTCCTCTGGCATGTGGAAAACTGGAAGCTGACTTCTGAGCAGGGACCACCATCAGAGGTCATATAATTGTACTTTTGTATTGTATGATGTTGTTCTACTGATTTTGGGAGTTAGAAATATCACAGTTATTGAAGCACTGTATACAAGTTATTACAACATTATACAACAAGTTGTATTTTTTTTCACCTACAAACGCATCATTTGGAAGTTTTAAATCACTCTACAAATAGCATGCGTGTCCACTCTTCTGTCAAATTTATTTGATGGTTCTAGCATGTAGCATTTGTTTTTTCTGTAGCTGTACGTGACTGAAACCTGACGACCATTTATTGCATTGTTATGCAATTTAGAAATACGGAAGCATTGGGAGATCACTGTATCACCGATCACCATAATAATATACTGGCATGCGTTCGACAAAGTGCATGTTGCAACACTATAGATTGGCCAAGGGCTTTCCCTTTTTATTACACTTACACACAAATGCTGCAGCTCACGGAAAATGCAAAATGTGTTTTTTTTAATCAACTAATATTGGTTTTAAAAGAAAAATGCATGCACAGCAATAGTGAAAACCACCTAACAACTTGCTAAACACTTAAAAGAATTTCACTTGTATGCCAAAGTTGAAAATAAAAGTTTTTGTTGCTTTATCAAAAACAGAACATAATTTTTTTGTTATACATGCTGTTTACTTTTGTTTTCAGTTGTAGCTTTGTTTAATCTTGGGCTAGACCCTCTTATATGACAGTCTCAAATTGTAAGACCTGCTGGCTTATTTTAATAAAGTTGTGTAGTGTGACGCTGGCCATAGATGGATTGTTTTTTTTTGTTTTTTTTTTTTTTCATCCAGCCAGCGGGATGAAAGGGGAAAAAAATGGATTATTCCATCCACATGAGCAACTCTCTCTGCTATCCGAATACACTGACCAGTGGCTGCAGCTGCTGAGCAACAAACGTTTTCTGGCTTTTCCATTCAACAGAAGTGGATCTAATGAGCAACTTCTGTCAAACAAAGGTGACCATACATATAACGAAATATGGCTTGTGTCTGCTCAGTTTCAATGTAGCTATGGCCAGCTTAAGATTCTACAGTAGCCAGTTGCAAAGCAGTAAGTGGCAAGAGATAATACAGGTGCATCTCAATAAATTATAATATCATCAAAAATGTATTTATTTCAGTAATTCAATTCAAAAAGTGAAACTCCTATAGATTCATTACACATAGAGTGATATATTCCATGCATTTATTTCTTTTAATTTTGATGATTATAGCTTACAGCTAATGAAACCCCAAAATTCAGTAACTCGAAAAATTAGAATATTACATCAGACCAAAAAAAAAAGATTTAAAATACAGAAATACTGGCTTGCTGAAAAGTATGTCCATGTATAGTATGCACTCAATACTTGGTCGGGGCTCCTTTTGCATTAATTACTGTATCAATGAGGCGTGGCATGGAGGCAATCAGCCTTCGGTACTGTTGAGGTGTTATGTAAGCCCAGGTTGCTCTGATAGCGGCCTTCAGCTTGTTTGCATTGTTGGGTCTGGTGTCTCTCATCTTGACTGCTGTAGAACTTCCAGGTAGAGGGCTGTGCTGACTTTGGACTTGGGGGGGGGGGGGGGAGGAGACCAACACAGGCAGATGACATGGCTCCCCAAATCATCACTGACTATGGAAACTTCACACTGAACCTCATTCTGTGCCTCTCCACTCCTCCTCCAAATTCTGGGACCTTGATTTTTAAATGAAATGCAAAATTTACTTTCATCCAAAAAAGGGACTTGGGACCACTGAGCAACAGTCCAGTCCTTTTTCTCCTTCGC